ATATATATACTAACAAAAAAACTTAAAAAAACTAACCCGCAAAGAATCTGCCGAGAAGAAAGAAGCGGCGAGAACCAAGTTACGCAAAACAGCTCACAGAGCTTTAGAGGAAGCGGGGAAGCAAAGGTAAGTGGCACGCTATCACCATAAACAACACGACCGTCCATGGACTTATGGGATTGTATCTTGACATATGGTATGCCAAAAAGGTATTCGCTGTAGTATCATCATTCCAAGCAAATGAAAATGACTCTCCCACATCTACACAACCCATCAGCACGACTACCAGCAGCAGCGGAACTGAGCCACAGCGACCACGCATTCCACCAAGCAAAACTGTTATGCCCCAAAAGAAGCGAGCCCCAATTCCACCGACAGGTGCAGGTGCAGGTGCAGATGTGCGACAGACAGCTGAGCCAAGCCATCAAGTGTACCTGTGCTACACTCCCATTTGAGTAGACCTCCATGGCTTCTGTCTTTGTGGTGCCAACACAGTACTTCTGACTCATTATTGAACATCAATCAACATTGGTTGTGCATTGTTGAACTTGTGATATACATTCACTGACTGATACCGTATGTAGATTGACTCTTACAATACACTATTGCAACCAATGTCCGAATGCGAACAGGTTCACGGGCCAGACCAGAGAGCAGACCTGGAACGAAACCCACATCTGGGCTGAGAAAGGAAAAAATTTGTTATCGACGACATGTGGACAAAGTGCGCGGTTTAATCACTATGCGAGGTGTGGGCATCGGGTCAAAATGATATGTGTAGTTTTCGGAGCATGCGGATTTATTTCCTACTGTGCTCACGTATACACATTCGCGGCAGACTTACAACATGGCAGAAAACAAGAAGGCTTATACTATTCCTGGTATAAATATAGTCATGCATGAGACGTCTGTATGGTATTGTTTATTCAAGATGATTCAATAGGGTGGATTTGCATGTGACTGACATGAAAATCCGCAACCGAGAGCGTATGTGTCGCCAATCAGAGCGCTGTGTTGCTTGTCTGACATTCAGGTTTACGATTCTGTGCATCTGGCGGTAGTGCTCTTTCTTATTCCGCCTCGGAGTATGTTGTTTCACTCCCGTTATCCCATACAATGTGAGACCCCCGACTGACATGCAGTCAACGATACATGCAGACGTGAATGGTTCTTCCATTGCACGACCAACTCGTATGCATTCGAGTGCGAGTTACTATCAAACACGCTTGTTCGCTTCTAACGCTGCTTGCAGATGTCAACCACTGACCACTTTTACGTTTCATTTGCTCACTTTTGTCGTCCTTGGATCTCAGATCTTACTCATAAATTTTGCCATCACTTCTTCTGGCCAAATGGCTCGATTCTCGTCCGAGATTCCATGCGTGACATCCTCTACCTAATATATATATTCATACCTTGGTGTATTCCCACTGCACGTAGGTATAACAAAACCTGATATCCGCCGACTCGCCAGACGAGGCGGTGTAAAACGCATCAGTGGGCTCATATACGACGAGGTATGTGGCCTACACACCTGTATTCGCATAGTTGCCTTGAATTGTGTGAACGTATTTCAATGCTAATGCTAATCGCCATGGTATTCACAATCGACCTATATACGTCTCATACTCACAAGTAGACATGTGCTCACATAAACATGAAGCACTACGTGCAAATACACATTATCCTGTGTACTCTGACATTGTATTGAAAGAGGTTTTGCACAACAATACACTTCTTATGTGTAATTAGCTGTTTCTGTACCCGTGTGTGGACATATACTGGAGACGTGTCTCGACGGACACTCCTAACACAAGCATGATATGCAATTGTGGTGTAGCTATATATCTGTTTTAAAATATCATGTGTACACCTGATATAGCATTACCACAATATAATTTGCAAAGCAACTGACAATACCTACATGCTCAAATTTCCGTAAATTGTGCCTGCCCGCATATATACCAATTGTATAGCCATCATATTCACAATTGGCCCCCGCTCACAAGTCGCGACACATGAGCGTGCACTTGCCCCTCGTAAGAACTAGTATTACGGCTCATAACTATATGCGAGTCTAACTTTGCCTGTAAACTAGAGTGCAGGGGACGAGTACTGAGACTTCAACCGCATTACAGCTTCGTATTACTTACAGTACTGTACTGTATCTACTCCACCGCAGATGCGACAGCAACTGAAATTGTATCTGGCCAACCTGGTGAGGCTTGCCTTGACATACTGTCAACACCGCCGGCAAAAAACAGTCACGGGTACGTAAACAGGATATATTCGATTCCTATTCAGGATTAGATCTCAAGACTATTACGTTGGGATGTTTCCCACTTGGGCAAGGCTAGAATTTGTGAGTGTATCTTTAAGATAGTTGCATATAATCCATATAACAGACTATAACTGAAAACAATTACAATACCTTTCACTCAGCTATGGATGTTGTATATGCCGTGCGCCTCTTCGGCGAACGGCTGTATGGCTTCGGAAGTTGAGAATCAACATCTGGTGGTGTGAACCCAATATCTTTGAGAATTTAATATCTTTGAAAAGACATTATTTTTGACCAGCACCTTCCTCACCTGAATGGTCACTACATGAATGGGTGGCATAAGACGAACCTTACTCGCGGCAATACCATTTATATGTCAGCCCATTGTTGTATTTGGCAATACACCAATCTGACCTGAAACGTATTCCGCCAGAATTTTTGCAGATTTTCATCATTGACCGTATATGCTTTTTAAAACAGCCCAGATTTCTGTACACGCGGGTTGAAAATCCTTGTCCACCTGATCGAGCGAATACAAATTTGCTTTCGAGGTTCTCATTATACTTTCATATCCTGTTGCTGTGGATGAAGATACAAAAAAGTGGGTATGCTGGGGCTGCGAGACCTTCGCATAACACATGAGTTTTTGGCGGGTGTTGTGTGTTGCTCGCTCGGTCTCAATCTCGCGAATATTTCCGACCTGCACAAAAATTACGCATTTAAATAGAGATTTAATTCTCGTTTATTATAAACAAATTCATCACGGCTCACTGTCCGCTGAACTTAACGATTGCTCTACAGTCGAGTCCTTGAATAACACCAGGTTTATTCAAAGTCCTTGAAAAACACACAGTATATTCAGTAAATACTCAACTTCTTACTCAAAACTTGAGAGTGTAACTCAACTCTCTCGTTGTGTGGTCCATCACCTCATCGTGCGAGGCTTGCCTGTGTCTGGGATGAATTTGTTACGCTGTGCTTTGCAATATATAAGAATTCTTATGCATCACACGCGCAGGTGCTGGGTGGCGGAGGGGTTCTAATTCATCTGTTTGTTTGCAACGGTTAATTTCCATCACATCTGTAAGAAGTCGTCGCCGAGTTTCCGACCTTTCTAGAGTTGCGTACAAATGATATACCTCGATCCTTGTCACGATCACCTCTAATCCGGGGGCAGTTGCATGTCTCGCCAATCTCCAGGTCTCTTGAACATATACATACTTTTATTGAGGGACGATGCGTTGCATACGGCTGCTACGGTAGCCGCCTGTATGTGTATCTCACAAAGTAGCGAGAGCATGTGAATGTGATGTTTCCAGTCTGAGTCATACTGGCCCAATACTATCAACATCTTGAACACGCGGCCACAGACCGGCATGAACTTATTTCGGGTATGATTGTGGCAGAGCGTGAGGTTGAGGTCCTCCGCCCGGAATGCGAGTGCAGTCTCTTAGTCTTGATGGAATACTCGACAACATACGACGATAAAATACGCGCCACGCCACGCCACGCCATTCCATATTTGGTGTCCGCGAAGAGTCGTAACACCCTATTTCTTCTTCTTACCCTTATTACCCCTACTCACCAACCCAGGTGGTTGTATGTGCGGCAGAAATTTCGCGAACCACGTTTGCGCCGTACCCGAACTGATGATATCGAAAGACTTTTCACTGTTTGTGTTGTCCTTCGCCAGATTCTGTTGGCACAGATTGAACTGACCTCGCAATGAATCCGGTGTGTCCCCTTGGATTCGCCTGATACCGGTATTGAAGCGGTGTGTATAAACGTTCTCAGTTCCGAACTGCACAGCCTTCTCTAGAGCTTGGTTCAATTCTTCGGCAGTCAGCGGTACCTATAAATTGTACAGTCGACATTTGAATGATTTAGAAGCTCCACGCGATATCATCCAACACAAAGAAGTCTCTCATAAGAAGGGGGTGGGAGGCTTTCACCAACAGGATGAAAATTACCACAGTGAGCCTGTTTGCATACATAATAAAGAACATACAGATACGAGCGAGTGTAAGGGAAGTAGATTGCATATCCAACTAAAAGTGCTATTGAATGCACAGCAGAACAATGAATGGAAAACGAGGAAAAGAAAATACAAGTGGAAACAATAGTACGACAACTATTTCCTAAAACGTCAAGATATTTAACTACATGCATGCGATTTCTATATATATATATATATATATATATATATATATATATATATATATATATATACTATATATATATATATATA